TCGTCAAAATTTTAACTTCTAGCCAACGCTGTTTTACAATTGTCTAGAAAAAAAAAAAAGCTTAAGCATCCTTTACCATCATTTACATTCTTTTTTGGCAGCAAACTATTCACAGTAGTTTAGCCACAAAAAAAACATACACACATACAAACAGCATTAATCCGAAAAGCTTTTTTCTTTTTTCTGTTTGCGTTTTTTTAAAACACCGTTGAAGAGCGATTGCGTCTTTTCCAGTTTTTAGCACATTCATGTGCATTTAGTGATTTGGTAACACCAATCCTAAATTCTGAAGAAATAAAAATGTAAATAAATTCAAACTAATTGATAAAATTTTTGAAAAGGTACAGTTCATTCTAGAATATTGCTGTTAGCACTTCAGTTTCTGATTCGTAGTAAACTCGAATTCTACGCAGCATCCATGTGATAAATCAAAATTTTTTTTGCACTATCAATTGGGTAGACATTAAATCAAATGCTTTCAATTCACTCGCTAGGCTCTACTAAAGCATTTTATAGCTCTTAATAATCAGCAGCTTTTTATTTAGACATTTAGAAAAAGTTTGGTGTGTTTGTATGCTAGAGTTTCAGACTTCAAACTGTAGTCTGCTAAGAATGTATAAAGTAAGCAAAACTGAAGTTGTATTTTTTCCAGATTTTGCTGCTTGTCACTTTTAAACAAGTATTCCAGTGATAAACTTGTAGAATCTGATTGAAGGCTAACTGAAAGAGACTGCGTTAAGCAATGATTCTGTCTGAAAAAAGTCGTGTTCTGATTAGTTCAAAGTAAGAAAATTAAAATTTTTTTTTATTTTTAGCATAAAACCATTCAAAAAAGACTGTAGCGAATGACTGTCAATTAGAACAATCATTCTGCTAGCTCAGACCTTTCCGAAGTTGTCTTTGCTCTTTTGTTCAAAGCGATTCAAAAAAAAAAGTGAAAAAATTTTGCGTAACTTTTTTCACCTCTCATAACCTGACATTTCATCGTTTTTTCATCACTTTTATTTTTTCCAAAATGTATTGTTTTAAGACTGAATAACATTAGTTCAAGGAAAAGTGAGTGATAATAAAAAAATAGTTTTCCTGACACGTCGTTGTGAGTATTTTTCTTAATTTACTTGTATACTTGACAAAACTATTTGTTTTTGATGATCAAAAAGCACTGAAATCAATACAAAGTTAAAAAACAAAGAAAAACGACAGTTTTGAAAGCCTAAAAAGATTTGACATTTGCAAACAATAAATTATCATTGTCTTGAAAAATGCAATCACTCAGATGAACTTCTAAAACTAAAAGCTATTTCCAAGACGTTGGAAGTGTATGTTTTGCTGGTAGCTGAAGATCAAAATTTTAGTTTCTTTTAACGGTTCTGCTTTTCGCTAATGAAGTATAATGTCACATTGATGTTTCAGATTCTTCAAGCTTGCCTGTTATCGTATGTTTTGAGAGCCTTAATTGTCTCCGGTAATTGGCGAAAGAAGACTTATTTAACGTTGATTTTTAAAACGAGCAAGCAGACCAACAAAAACCAACAAAAAACTGACTGTTACTCCTAGTAAGCTGTATAACCAATAAAACAACTTTCCTGCTATCCTACCAGCAAATTATCAGAACTGGGTTGGCAAATTCGCTTTATCAGCTCTAAAATTTTTTGAAAAATTTTTTTGGTTTTTCAGACTATCAACGAGATTTCTATTGTTTTTACTTTTACATATATTTTTTGGTCGAATGTCCAACAAATGCCATTGTCGTCTGCTTTCTCGGCTTCCAGTATTAAACACTAGATTTGTTCAAGAACTGTTTCTTTTCTTTCTCCTCGAGTTTTTTTCAAGCTGAGTATTGTTTTAAATCTTACAGGGAATTATAGGAGAGGAAGGAAGTGACTGTAAACAATTCAAATAAAAAAACTTACTGCTCTAAAAAGGCTAGCTCCTTCAAGAATCTGGATTTGCTACTTTTATAAGTATGCACTACTTAATGCAACCAAAACTTTTTAAAAAGACGCATATTGAGAACGAATATCGATGTTCAAATATCAGTGTCTAAATAAAGGATAAAACTAAAAAGATGCAACAAATACAACTTGATGAAATTTTCTTAGTAATTTACTATAGGTGAAGAAATAGCATACTTAAAAGAGTAGCTTTTGTTTCGCCGGCTCTGCTGACAATCAGTAACCTTCTATTTAATATGATTTCATAGAGAATCTTCTGGTTTTCATCTGTTCTGAAAGTTTAAAGTTTCTTTTTTTTAGAGTTATTGCCACATGTCTTTTTAAACGAAAGATAACAGATCTGAGTATGACTTGCCACATAGTAAAATTTGTAAAACTGTTGCTTTGTTCTGGCCATAAATAGTATGACATGAAACACACCTTCGATGTCGTCATCTCCTGTTTATTCTCACTCGCTTCTCAAATGACATTTTAAGCCTCCATGAAATGATTCCGCTGAGAACTGAGAGGTACTCTAAAGTAAAGACTTTGAATAGATGTATTTGTGTATTAAAAATTGTTCAAAAGGGGGGAGCGATTAATTCGGCGATAAATTAGGAGAGGAAAAGGCACACTATACTTGTGAAAGCAACGATAACAAACTTAAGACTGTCATAAAATTTTCGGAACCGTTTAAAATTATTCCACCAGGAGCCTTCTCAATTTTTTACTTCGTTTAAAACCATCGCGGAGCAAAGAAGTAAGCATTTTGACTATCTTTCCTTATGCGTACTGATGTTAACAAACGGCAACAGGCACTACCCGATGATGTTAAGGCCAAAACAAGTAACTCGTCTTTAACCATTTCAGCGTAACCGAAGGGAATAATTAAGCCTTGTAAGTCGAAGATATGAGGCAGTGTAAGCGAGACGCTATACAATCATATTGTGTTTTAAAAGCTGTTATAAGCAGCACATTTTTTAATCACTTGCGAAACTTCCTCTGCCGTTTCTTATAGCTTCAGTATTTTGGTTATACTGCGAGAGGTTTAAAAAAGCATTTAGTAGAGAATAAAGATTGTTAAAGTAGTAAAAAGGGATGTTTTGTTCTTTACATGTTGAGAAATTATTCATTTCATTGCGAGACGGAGAAAGATAACAGCTAAATAGAGCGGTGTCAATAAAAAAAAAGTTTTCAGAACAATGATTACAAATGGATGAGTGTCGTCCACAGCTGCTCTTGTTGGAGCTACAGCACTATGATAGCTACAGTGATGAACGATTGAGTAGGAAGTGAAAAATGGCAACATCTATCCATCCACCAGACTTATGTTCACCACCTTTCATTTATGCGACTACGCGAATCAGTCATTTATTTAAAAAATCTGGGATAGTGTTGGCATGGTCAGAGATATTTTGACGTCCACTGGCGAGTGCAACTGGACAGCTGAGCAGATTGCAACTGAGAATGTAACTGCAGCGGCAGTCGAAGCACGCAGTTTGTTGACAGTTGCAGCAGCACTATCAATAAGACCTGGCTAGTTAAACCGGACTGGTGGGTAGTGCGGATGCGCTGACTCATAATCAGTATCTGTGTTACTGATTCTCTTCAGCCGAACGGGGATCGTTTATGCTCTGCGTGTTGTATGGTTGTATGAGTGTTGCTGTATGTGCTCTGGGTGTGTTTGTGTGTATCAGAATGTGCGTATTGGTAGAGCGTTGTATGGGTCGTTCGCCGGTTACCGGTGGGTGCAGTCAGTCGTTTTTGGGGGGTTTGCTCTGTTAAATCCTCTTTGACCATTCTCGCTCATCTTTTCGTAACTATCGTCAATTCAATTGTTTTCTTATCTATTCTTTATTTACATTTTCTACAAAAAAAAGCTTTTTTTTCGTTTCTTTGTCATTTCTGATAAGCTGACTGTATTGGAGAAAATTCTTTAGAAATTTTTAAGTTTTTTAGATTTTTTAGTTTTTTCAGTTTCGAACTAACTAGGTTTGTTTTTTTTTTTTGTTTTTAAAATTTCAAAATAGTTTTTGAAAAAAAAAGTGTGAAAATGGTAGAAAGAAATGAAATCTTATTAAAAATTCACTCACTTTTTATTTTCTTATCTATTCGTTTCAAAAAGAAAAAATTTTTTTACTTTATATTTATCTGTTGACAACCGGACTTGAGCATTTCTGGCAGTCAAAAGAAATACTGCTTTGCCGCTGTTATGAGCAGATGCTAGCTGGAAAGAAGTGAGAAAATTTCCTTTTTTCTTGCTGAAAAGGTGACTAGAAGAAACAGAAACAATGGGTTTTTGAATTGCGTTTTCATTTTTCAAATTCCATCCCTTTATTCATCCTCTTGCTGACAGATTTATTTGAAAAAATTGCCTATTAGGACAATTAAAAAAAAGGGAGAAAGAAAAAAAGAAGGGAAAGGTGCACTAATAAAAATTTAGTTTTTTAGAAGTGGAGTGGCGGCAATAGATCTTTTTGAAGTTTTCCTTTTGCCAAGTTAGCCGCTCAAAACGTTTCGCCAGAGTGGTCACGGTGAACTCTCTGGTTTAAACCACTACAATCATC